AATTAGCTTGGTTTGTACGGTTAAATCCCAATTTCTTATAACACGGTTTCCATATAACGCGGAACGCACTTACAGCGTTATAGGAGGTTTGACTGTATATATATATATATATATATATATTCCCATTATTTCGATAAAAATAAACGAACAAAAAAAGAGACAAGAATTTCGAATAACCAAAATGGTGGTGGTAGTATTAAGTAAAAAGAAAAATTGATAAACGCATATATACGCACATCCATAGCATTCTAAGGGTTAAAGAAAAACTTAAAAAAAAATCAAAATAGAAATGAATGTAAATCAATATAGGAATTAGAATATAAAATACATTGAATTTCGATAGACGAATTGCAAAAGAGGGGGGGGGGGTTTAGTAGCATCGTCATCTCTACCATATCTTTTTTACTTCTTCTCATTATTATCTACATTTCCCGAACGAATTTAGTTGAAAATAGAATAAGAAGAAGAAGAGATGTACGAAGGGAGAGGATTTCCGAGTGGTGGAATCGAAAGGGCCGATAATTCCAAGTCCTCGAATTGACGTATTTGCGCGTTATGTCACAGAATTTACATTCGAGAAACTAAAATACTCACACCCTTCCACTTCCTCTTCCTTTTTTTTCCTTTTTTTTTTTCTGGTATCGTTTGCAAAGGGTGGTTTGGTTGAAGAGGTGGTGGCCCATTGCCCTGACGACTATGATGATCATACTATTCGCATGAAACATGCTCGTGTATTCGCGAATACGATGCAATGCGACGACCCTTTTCACGTTTCGGGTTATCTCTCTCTCTCTCTCTCTCTCTCTCTCTCTCTTTTCTTTACATGATATGAGATACCACCATACACACATATCGTGTATGTTGTGCTTGATCTCCCTCCTCCAATCAGCAGATTGAAATTATTGGCTCGGCCCGTTGCACATTACTGTCTCTCGTTAACAAGATATTGAACCATCTCGCATCTTCCATTCCCTTTTTCTCCTTTTTTTTTTATATTTTTTTTTTTTTTAACT